TCTTTCTTGAAGTGGGGAGCCCAGAACTGGACACAGTACTCCAGATGAGGCCTCACTAGGGCAGAGTAGAGGGGAAGCAGAACCTCCCTCGACCTGCTGGCCACACTCTTCTTGATGCACCCCAGGATCCCATTGGCCTTCTTGGCAGCCAGGGCACACTGCTGGCTCATGGTCAACCTGTCGTCCACCAGGACACCCAGGTCCCTCTCCGCAGAGCTGTTCTCCAGCAGGTCCGCCCCAAGCCTGTACTGGTGCATGGGGTTGTTCTTTCCCAGGTGCAGGACCCTGCATTTGGCTTTGTTGAAACTCATCAGGTTCCTCTCTGCCCAACTTTCCAGCCTGTCCATGTCATGCTGAATGGCAGCGCAGCCTTCTGGTCTATCTACCACACCTCCCAGTTTTTGTCGAAAAGAAAAGCAGAACCCTACCCTTCGAAGGGCAATCCTTAAACGGAATTTAGGGCACTGAGCTGTCACCAAAGGGAAACGTACGTGGGGAAGGGCACAAACGCCTTCACTCATTATATTTATATTTGACTGAAGTGCCTCAAGCCAGCTACGTACAGGAATTCCATTTTCTCTTCCTCCCGAAACTCCTCTCTCAACATGCTAACTGCTATCATTAGTTAGACAAGGTTCTTGCTTTCATTTTCTCTGACAGAGATTAAAATTTAAAGATATGAATGGAAGGCTTTTATGGAGTTCTGCAGCTCTCACTACAGCACAGTGGCCACCCGTGCACCCAATGTGGTTGCACAACTGCTACCTGTTGTGCAACAGAAAATCCGACTGCAGGAAAGAGCAGCCATGCTCCCTGCTTAGCTGTCTGACTGAAATCATGTGATATTTCAAGACATTTAGAACTGAAGCAAAAATTTTGATGATTTTAGAATACTGAAGTGAATTTACCACATGGAGTTCAAAACACTTCAGGACCCTTTTCTCACATGAGAAATTAGTATGTGATATGTCTAACAGACGGACGATTTCGTGCAAAGTATATTTAAATTTATATAAACACTTCTTAATTTTAAGTTGATAGGAGTTACGTTTAAGTTGATATGCGATTAAAGAATAACAAACTCTCCATCCTGCAGGGACAGGGCAACAGAAAACATAACTGACTTTTCAGAACTGAGCGTGTAAGGAGCAGTAGCTTCAAGTCCTAGCTGAAACTGTGGAAGGCCAGGCGTTCAGATAGGCTGCAAAATGCAATTTTCCTCTACACAAGGCTTGAAATATTTGGCTTTTGCATGGGAGGTAATGGTTTGCATTACAAAGAACAAAGAAGGAATTTTTTTTTCTGAGGAAAATGCAGTGTTTTCCTTTAAAATAAAATAAAAGCAAAACATTTTAATTGCATTTGTCTTTCTTTCATTTTATAGTCACATTTCCTTAATACAGAACAGATCAACACATGATTTGGCCACAGTTTCCAAGTGCAGTGCGTGGGGAGAGGAAGGCAGCAGAGAAAGAGCAGGAGGGATACAGGAGAGACAGAGCAAGAGCAAGAGCGATGCGTGTCGAACCACTCGGTCCCATTAACTAATGTGCAGCAACTTTCAAAACTCCACTTAAGAACTATACAGTAAAGTTAAAAGAAGATTTTGTCGACATAAACCAACAGTAATTTTAAACACTTTGTTGTATGAATTGTAACCGTGACGAGAATGTGAAATATTTGGACTTCTGTTGAAAATACTAGGAGTGATCCACGTTTTGCAATCCTACACTCCTTCCAGGAGAAGACATGGAGCATCAGCTTGGTCAGTTCACTTAGCGTACAAATCTATACAACAGTTGCAAAAGTCCATATTTATCTTCATGCAGAAGACAACAATATGCATCTCAAAAGAACATAACATAATGCTACGTGGTACAGCTACCTTATTAGTATGGGGTTAGGACAGGCGCAAGTCCAGTGACACTCAAATTAGTCTTTCTTTTTGGTATTAAATATGTAACTCAAACCCATAGTATTCCACACTGCAATCTTCTAATCTGTATTCCTGCATTCATGTACAACTGTCATGTACAAACAACCTCAGTACATTTCACACAGGGAGGCAATTTTTGCAAGAGCATGAGATCAGAAACATCAGCAGCGCGTTCCACGCACATCACACACAATCACAGGGATTTGTAACTTGAGTTTTTGCCTCTAATTTTCTGTACCTGTGAAATCTGCAAATATTATCTGTGTGCAATTCACGCCTTGCATCCTTCTGTAATGATCAAGATGCAGTCACCAACTGCCTACTTTAAAAAAACAGTAACAGAGATCAAGGCACTGTAATCTGGTCTCCAAGCAGCTAAGGATATTCACACATGAAACAAGATCGTGCAACATCATCTTAAGTCTGTGTAGAACAGCTGATAAAACCATCCTCCTTTCCTAACTGGGCTATGCACGTCCTCTACCTGTTTTCCATTTGCAGCCTGCAATCTCTTCACCGAGTTCACCAGTACGATTAAAAGCCACCTTCTCAACAGTGCATACAAAATACACCTTGCCTTTAAAAAAAAAGAGAAAAGGATTTTGGCTCATCTTTGAGCGGTTTATATGCAAGTGAGAGTCAATGGTACTTGCAGCCTTCCTGGGAAACGTGTTCAAGTGGAGAGGGTGGAAACATGTCAGGTTATTTATTTTAAATATTTCATGTGCCTTGAAAGCAATTTCTGCAACCAGTGTAAAAGCTGATTTACCCAGATCACGATGAAAGGATGTCTAATGGGATAAACTTTTGCAGTAAAATATCCAAGCTGCCAAATTGTATCGTTAAGCGTAGTTCAACAGGCTCTACAAACAGCTATCTGGGAACAGAAAACCATAAAATCACAATTCTCACAGATTTAGGGCACGCTGGCACTGCCGCAAGCCCTCCTGCCCCACTGCCGTGGCACACGCACAACAGCAGCAGCACCCAAGCCTGGGAGTGGGCTCCCGCACGCACCCTCGGGGCTAAAACGGTAAAAAGAAGAAATAAATCCTCTTTAGAGCCTGAATGTACTCACTTTCTGTCACCCCTTTCCCCCCTCACTGCAGAAATTCAGCTGCACTCCCAAGTTAGCAAAACCCTGACTTTGAAGCTTGTTTTCCTCCATACAAATAATGGCTTCCGCAGCAACGGCGTTTGCCAAAGCGTGCAGCGTCTTGGATCAGGGACACAAGGCAAGGAAAGCTGCTAGAAGAAACGTCAGCAGTCATTAACCATACCCCTTGTTCGGCTTTCATTATTTTTGCCATTCCAAGATGTTTACTCCACTAGCTACAGGAAAAAAAACAAACCAAACCAACAAAATACCACAAAAAATAAGCAAACCCAAATCCCAAATCTTTATGTCTGAAAAAAATTCGAAAAGGGGAGACGACGACTGCTTCCAAGCCTTGATCTGAGCCGGCCCTGCCAAAGGCCATCTCAAGCTCCCCCACATCTTTTCCAAAGGCGGAAAGTGACGCTGGCTCTCTTGGAGTAAAGCCTTTGTACCGCGGCTTGCCATTTCCCACAGAGGAGTGACTGGACTCTCATGTAAAAGAGCTCCGAAACCTTCCTGCTGGAAACGTAGCGGCGAGACGCGTCCCCAGGGCTGCCCTCCCTCCCTGCGCCCAGCTGCGAAAGGAGGGATGGGGAGAAGGACGGGGAGCAGGTTCTGCCCATCATTGGGCTGCCCCTTGGTGACTAACCATCAGTTCAGCGGTCACTCTCCCTTGTGCTGCGGTGGTGAAAATCGATGATTTTGCGAGCTCCAGCTTTAGAGTTGGGTTTCCCCGCTCTTAACAACGGCAAGAAACCTTCCCAGCAAGTCCATGTGAGAGACAGGCACGGCGCAGGGAACTGCACAGCATGGGCTACAGAGGGAAGCGAGCTGTGGTGGTGGTGACCCAAGACCGAGTCAAACGCAAAAATGTGAAGTATTGACCCCTGCCACGCCACAGGGCAACAAAGGACCATTACCTTGCTACACAGTCGTAACGCAGAAACGATAACTTGCCTGCAGAGCACGTCTGTGGACACCGCGAGTGCAATGCCAATCAATTCACCACCAAGCGATGCAGTTTCTTTAAGGACTCAGTTTGACAAAAATGTCTACGAGAGCTATTAACGTGCTGAAGCGTGGGCGCTGCTCCACAAGATGGGGTCATTAACCAAATAATGCACCTGCATTTTATTTTTGTTGTGATTTCTTCTTTCTTTCTGGTGTTGTTATGTTCTTAGGAACTAACATATTACTCAGACGGGAAGATTATTCACTTTTACATTTAGTTTTATGAACATTTCTGTATTTTGTTGTTGATGTGAGAAAAATACTGTGCCTTATGGTCCTTGCACTATGTTTGTTGCTAGTATTATATTCATTTTAATTCATCCTTTATGAGTATGTGCACACCTGGGAATACCTGATAACTAGCACAAGAGAAGATAAATTTGCACTCACTAATGGATTAATTTATTAGTGCTTCAGAAAGAACATGCAGACTTGTGTCTGAATTGTGGTTTGCTTGGGCTTTTTTATTCATCATATTAACGTGGAGATTTTTCCCCAGTTAAAGA